TCCATAAATCAATTATTTTTCAAATGATGCATTTATTCAATAAGTGGTGTTGCATTATTTATTTTCTTTTTTAACACGGCTTACATAATATATAAATTTTAGCTAATCCAAATATATAAAATAAAATAAAAAATAATAACATTATAGAATTTAACCACTACCACCTTGTATAAACACCTCGTGCCTTGATAACATCATGGATTCATTCTGGAATAGAATGGATTAGGTTGGTGCAAGTTTCAACATCAATTTCAAACCAAACCTGTTGTATCTTATTCCATAAATCTTCCTTGCATGAAATTTGCCCAGGGAGATGCCTGAGATGACAATCAACCTCATTCCATAGATGCTCTATGGGATTAAGGTCTGGGGATTGGGGGGTCAATCCAAGATCTTTATTTATTATTTTTGGGCCATTGTTTTGTTGAATTCACCATATGCTTAGGGTCTCCATCCTGTTGGAATATGACCTCTTTGACATTAAATCCATGATCTTTGATAGTATTCATAAAATCTTTATGAAGTATCTGTTGATACAATTTGGCATCCATCATGCCATCAATCCTACAAAAGCCACCAACACCCCAAGATGTAAAACAGCCCCATATCATCACTGACCCACCCCCAAACTTCACTGTAGGTTTAATGTGGAAATGGTTTAATGGTTCCTCTGGACATTTCCAATAGCATTGCTTCCCATCTGATCCAAAAACCTTAAACTTAGACTCATCGGACCATATAGTCTTTGACCAGTCTTCAATAGTCCAATGTTCATGTTCTTTTGCAAATTCTAACTGACGCTTTCAGTGTTTACTGCTGAGGTAGGGTTTTTTTCTTTTAATTCTTGATACTAAACCATTTGCATGAAGTATACGACAAATGGTAGGTGACGAAATACTAATATTTTCTTTTCTTCTATACATTTTTGGACCTCTGGAGCAGATGAGCACCTTCATGAAGTGATGAGATTGACAATTTTATTTTTTATTGTTTCATTTATAATAGATGGTCGACCTGGTTTTGGTGCATCTTTGAGTGAGTGTTGTTCACGCAATCTTTTATTAATATGAGAAACTGTTGAGGGGCTAATATTTGTTGACTTTGCTATTTGCCTTGTTATATGTCCATTTTGAAGAGAAAGAAGAATTTGGACTCTTTCTTCCAGAGTTGTATGAGGCTTTTTTGTCTTGGCCTTTTTACTAAAAAGTTGTAACAATGGGTATGGCATGTAAACAAACACAATAAAATTTCTGATCTCCTGATTCTTGTATAAACGATCATATATAATGCAACACACATTTTGTACTAATCACACTTTTATTCTAAGATTTGACATAGAAATAATTATTGAAATTTATATATATATAAATTACATTATTAACAAACAAAACTATCAAAAAAAATTACATATATCTCTGAATTTTCGCAAAATATTTCAATTTAACAAATTTTATTTTTTTGCTGCATTATTTATGATCGCCACTGTATTTCTGTTTGTTTGTTTGTTCATGTTTATGGAAATAGGTTATTTACTAATGATTGTAGTGCAGGTGGTAAATTATATGCACATATTACTCCTAAAGAAGTTATTTTGGTAAAAATTTTTCATTTTCATTTCAAAATAATTTTCTTTCTCTTGATGAAAATACATCATCCTTTTATTCATTTTTTAATAATGAGAATGCTATAAAGCAATTGAAACATATTTTTAAAAATTAGTTTAATAATTTTTTAATAATAATAAATTTTTTTTAAAAAGTCCATGATATAAAGTGGGTAGATTTAATAGTGTTAAAAAAAATGTTACTAATATTAACAGGGTAAATTAATTATATAAACCCTTGGGTAAACTTAATATAAAAATCATGAAAATTGACTGGGACATCAATTAGAGGTTTCCGGGTCCTGACCGAGCTAATAATAATTTTCTCACATCATCTATTTGTATCTTGTGACATTTTTAGTGGTACCAATAAATTTGACAATTTATACTAAAAAATAAATAAAATACAAACAATGAAACATAACTTAAATAGAAACACAATGCAAAAATTATTAAGATCAACCAATCGTGACAACATTATGTTGGATGACATTGATATGGAACTGGTAAGAAGAAAGTATTTTGGAATTGCTAATAACAAAAGTAGCAGTGGCAATAATGATATTAACAATAATAACAATGATGATAATATGATGGGACATTCAGAAATGATGGCATCTTGTACAAGGCTTTATGATCAGCTAGATAAAATATCTAATTTACTTTGTGATTTCACTGAATTATCCAAAACATATCTTAAAAAAAATTCAAAAAAGTTGATAGATTTACAAAATAAATGGTCAAAAAATATTTTAAAAATGGAAAACTTAGTTAAGCATTTGAAAATTTTAGGTTATGATTATGCTATACCACAAGAAATAATAGATTTTAAATTTGAAGATCTGTTATCTTCCTCTTATGCTTCATCATCATCATCTACATCCAGAATTTTTGATAATCAGAAAAGTTTAATTGCTAAAGAATCAATAAAAATTCAAGATCAAATTAAAAATAGTAATATTAATTTCAATAGTAGTAGTAGTAGTAGTAGTAGTAGCAGCAGCAGCAGCAGCAGTAGCAGCAGCAGCAGCAGTAGTTATAATAGTATAGTTAGTAGAAATAATAATGCTACTTCTAGCAGTAGTAGTAATAGTAGTAGTAGTAGTAATGGTTCTGGTTTTAATAACACCAAACTTGATGATATCTTTGCTAAATTTTCACCGTTTAATAATCATAGTAGCAAAGAAAAAAATAAAAATATTAGCAATAGCAATAACAATAATCCTTTTACTACTAATACCTCATCACAAATTACAACTACCACTGACACCACCATCACCAATAATAATAGTAGACTTATTGCATCATTTGACAACGACATTAACTATTTTTCTCAACCAATTGATGTTTTACCATATTTAGATCTCAACACAAATACAAATTTAAATACAAATTCAATTATAAATACAAACACAGTTGCATCAACATCACAATCACAAAATCAACAAAATCAAATTGTCCCAATTAAGAGACAAATATATGATTGTTATAATAGATCAATTAATAGTAGTAATAATAACAATAATAAGAAAAAGAAAGCATGGAAAGAAGCAAAAACCAATTATGTTGTAGTGTTGGATAGTGATGATGAAAAACCACAAGAAGTTAATAAATGTGATGGTAGTGTTGTTGATGTTATTATGATAGGCACCGAATCTAATCCGCTTATTATAAATGATTCCTGTGAGGAATTATGCGGAGAATTAATAGAAAAAGAAGAAGAAATAGTTGTTCTGAGTTCATCATTGCCAATTACTAAAAATAAAATTGCTGCTCCTGCTAATCTAATTGCCGCTGCTGCAAATACAACTGCTGCCACTAATCTAATTACAACAACAACAACAACCACTGCTGTTACTATTACTACTAATAGTAGTAGTACTAGTATATCTAACAACAATAACAATATTGAATCTGATGGGATTAATGGGATTATTTTTGAAAAAAGTGGTTCCAGTAATAATAATAATAACAATAATAATAACATCTTTGATGAATTTAATGATACTAATATGTTTACACAAGAATTTGTTCAAACAAATACAAATAGAGAAGAAGATGATGATTATGATGATGATGATGATAGTCAAGATTTTACTAAATATGACCCATTTGAACAATTCATTACAGACCCATTAGAAGGACAATCATACTATAATTTTAATAACATCAGTAATAATAACAATAATAACAACAGTAATAATAGCAAGGACAATAATAGTTCAGCATATTTTCAATATTCATTAGATGATCTATCAGATATATTAAATACAGATGATAACAATAATAATAGTCGTAACAGCAATAATAATAATAATTCAACATATCCATTCTCTGATGATGATGATGTCAAAAAGTTTTTGGAGAATATAAAAAATACACTTGAAATATATGATAATGAATTTGATTATAGAATTAAAAATGGATTCCCATTAAATTCAAAAAAATTAAAAGAAAAATGTAAAGAACCAGAACCAGAATCAATAGTTGTAGAAATTAACAATATTAATAATAACAATTGTAACAATAAAAAAGATGTCAGTGATGATAGTGCTATGGAATCGGGAGTTGAAATTGACACATCAAAATTGGAACCAATTGATAAACTTAGAAATTTGCAGTGTATAGATTTTCACCAAGGTAGTGGTGATGTTAATGAAATGGCATTTCATATTTCAAAGTTCAAAAACCACGAGGGGCCCAAACTTGCAATTGCTTACATAGCAAATCATGACCCAAAATATAATATGACAGGTAATCTACAATTATTTGATGCCAGGAAAGGAACTGTATATTACTTACAAGGACATTATGATCATCATACAGAAACTACAAATGAAAAATTATGGAAATCTGTCACAGATGTGAAATTTTCTCAGAGGGGAAAATTTATTTATTCCTGTTCCACTGATAAAAAAGTCATTATCTGGTCATCAATAGGTAAAGAAGATCAAATTTGCACTCCCTTGGCAACTGTAGAATGTGAAGATACTGTGAATCGAATTGCTGTTAAACATGACAAATCTAAGGTCACATATCAATTTGCATCATGTGACAATTCAGGCAGCATCACATGTTTTAGTTTGAATGCAGATGAAGGTAATTCTTATAAGCTAGATAAAAATATTTTGCAAATGAAAACAAAAATAACAACTGCACCACCTATTGTTGACATAGTTTATGGTGTTGACTATTTTGATCAGACTATTGTTGCTGGTTTTGAAGGAGTTGAATCACAAAAAGATGGCTTTATACCAACCTTTCATTATTAACCATGACCAGAACCAAAGAGATAAATTATTT